TTCACTACGATAGAGATTGACGTTCTGATACGTGTCGTTTATTTCGATATGATACTTGACGTCATTTTGGTGTAATTTCGGTCAGCGTTCGAATATCTTCCATCAAACATAATCGGCATCTGACATCAACGCTATTTCTTGTTGCATTATATGTCATTATCATTTTTTTCCTAATACCAAGGTAAACAATTGGAGAAAAAGAGTCAATCATTATATATATATATATTTATATATATATATAAAGAAACCGAATACACTACAACATATAGTACATCTGTATAAAAGGTGTATAGATCGTAATCCTGATTGACATAATTTCATTTTGCCACTGAGAACAACGTGAACTCATGAGAGGTAATTACGTTTTGATTTACAGCGTTTACCTTCTTTTCTGTGATAATGATATCCCGAATCACATAGAAAGCGTAGACCCTTTCTCTGTCCAGGACGATATCGAAATGTTTTGTAGACATTGGTTCTCCCTCCTCAGGCCAATATTTTGCACACTTTTTCTATGATTAAGAAAAATATCGGCAAAATTATATCAAGCATTTGCCTTTTCAGTTCTAGCAACGAACAGAAAGGAACCATAGCTTGCCATTTTTTTTGTGATGTACGGGCTATGCTTTTTCATTAAACTGTTGCAAATCAGGTGGTTATACAATATATATATATATATATATATAATTCAGATACAAATGTGAACAGTTTACTACTACAAAACATATTGCATCAAACAAAATAGATATCAAGGTTTTTTCAGTCATAGTTACAAATGTAATATACACAAATTACACGACATCTGTGTATATAATGGTATAAAGCCTTATTATGACTGTGACCTTTTGCACATTTGGCATTCAATATGCTATAATTGTTAGAACAATGTCCAAGGTGCAAAACCATAAGTATATGTATTACCTTTGTTCCTTCAATCAATTTGGTCAGCATGACGACTTTCCCAGATTTAAGCTGCCAGAGCATACGCCACAGGTCATCTACGGTTTTGTCCGTCGGGCCTATCCATAAAGTAAATTAGAATGCAATTGTAATTTATCAAAATAAGCATTACGCCACCCTTCCTTTGTATTTAAGGGAGTCCATCAATTCTCAATTGAACATGAACTACAGACATTTGTTAACCTATGAGAAATATAACATTTCGAGAAACATGCTAATTTTGTTTCAAAAGGTTTAAGGGCATTCTAATTTTTTTAGTAAATACAAACATAACTGAACACCAGTACAGCATTTTATAATATACAAATACGTATTATATAGATGCGTTCGCAGTAATCAAAAACATAAATACCTTGCGTTGCAATATACTCCGCAGGTGAGGTGACACTCTAAAAGAGTAAGAAACTATTTTTACACGTTTAGTGATCCCGTGTTAACTTTAGATGGCTTTTCAATAAACAAACTAANTTAAACAAACTAAATCATTTAACTTGTTCAATTTGTTCCATGGAATGTTCACTGTTAATTTTATGAAAACAATACATTTCTTTTGAGGTATAACAGAAGAAAATCTTCAACAGCGCCAATAACATTTTTTTCAGCATTATTGCACAAACCAATCAATCCATGTTTCAATTAATGATTTTCAAAAAATAGTTTACTTCACAAATATGTCTGGTTGAAAATACGAACATCAATGTAGTTTGCGTTGATATAGTCTGAATGAGGGTCATTGTCCAGTTGGTCAAGAATCACACGG